CGTGAAAATTAAAAACAATCACTTGATTTTTGAAAAATCACATTAATCTCAAAATTTCGCCTAAGAAACCATCTTTTTGTGCACTAATAAAAAAAATTCCTTACAAAATTTTAGTATATAAGGACACCTCCTAACTTAAAAAGAAGATAACATGTAAACAAATCTAACCAATCAGAAACCTGGGGGTAAATTAGTAAAAACCGCTCAACCGAGCTCATAATTTGTGTTCGTTTATAATCTATCTCGGATCATTTTGGATGATCATCATTTTTACTTTTAGTGATTTTTAGACTTAGTCGATTAATATTTAGTCGATTCCTATCATTAGTCTGGTTTACACCTAATTGTATTCATCGAATATTCAATGAATGTATTTAGAATAATGGCCCGAATTAAGCTTAATTTGGACCGAAATTCGTAGTGCTACCCTTGCGCGTTATTTCGAGACAATACGGTACTCTTGAATTTTAACCTATTACAGAGATATCATCGTCTATGTACTATTTCGATATGGAAAATTTACATGACATAATTAATTTATTACAGAGATATCATCGTCTATATACCATTTCGATACGGAAAATTTACATGATATAATTGCACAAGATAATCCTATTAACGACCCAACGGAATTAGAAGATTTCGACATTTTAAACTCTTTTTCAAAATTAATCGAAGAAGCATGTCAAATTGAAAATTTTTACAATTCTTATGATAACATGCAATTTAATAAAAGAATGTGTAGACACTTAGGTCGATGTATCATTAAAGCTGTATCCGAGGTTAAGTTGCTTCAAAATCAAACCGACTATGAAGATTTCTTGACGCTGGATAATTATAAATTCTTTCTTAATTTTCTGCAAGATCTTAAGAAAATCAAAAATTTTATTGAGAACATTTCTCAAATCAGAAGATTAAAATCTTTTATTCAAGAAACCGATGATGGAATTTCATTTGGTCGATTAAAGAATGAATGTGTCAAATTATTAGAAAAATTTCATGAATCTACATCATCTCTCGGATTTAATATTCAGATAGATGACAAAACTGACAATATACACAAAGATATTGAAGAAACAAAAAAGGTAACTTTTCATCTAGTAGAATAGAATTTAAAATTTCGGCACCAAAAATGTAATTTAAAAATCTCTCCTAGTTTATTCAGGCATTTGAATGCAATTTTGAAGATGATTCAATGTTTAACTTTATCAAAAAGATAAGTGCACGTATTCAGAATGTCGCAAATGACGAAATATTTAAATATGGAATTATTCAAAAGCCATTTGATAATGAAAATGTCAAAAAAATAAAATGTAAACCACAGGATATGAGATTATTCTGTGTTCGAATAGCGCTTTTAAAAAATTTAAAAGGTTTAGCTAATATATCCAATTTTTATGGTAGAATAAAATGTGATGATCGAGTAGAAGTGAATATAGAATGGTACGATATAGCGATTTAAAGACATATTACCCGTTAGATACTCGAACTAAGTTAAAATTTGCATTAGAAATATGTAATGCATTAGTATTTTTAAATGCAGTGAACTTTTTACATCGGGATATAAAATCAGAAAATATCCTGATTACAAATGATCGTAAAGCCAAAATTACAAATTTTTGTCAGAGTCGATTAGTTACAGATGAATCAGGAATACTTGCTACTAAAATTGCTTGATACATACACCTAATACAGATATAAAATATGATTTCAAATGTAAGATTTATAGGTAATATTGATTAAAGATAATCAGTACCATAATCAACGAAAAAAAAAATAACCTCTATATACATAATTAGTTTTGGAGTTCTTCTCTGGGAACTCGTGCATGAAAAATCACTATATGATTGTTATGATCTTAATAAAATAATTTACGGCCTGTCGAAAAACTTCAATAAAAGTTTGGTGCCAGAAAAATACTCAAATATTAGCATAAAAGGTAAATAATAAAACTATTTTTCTAATATTAACAGTTAATACATATTGATTACATATTAACGTTGATGTTTATTATTTCTTAAAGCACTCAGTCGTTTCCCAAAAAATTGACCAATGATCTGTGACATGTATAAAGAATTACATAATCTAGCAATTAACTAACTAATCAAAATTATGGATTAGAGTTTTGTAAAATCGATAGATCATCCTTGCTTTCAAATCTTATAACTTGCTTGTGAGATTTTAAACTTTCAAAAAAATATTGATTTGATTAGTTATTTTGTTTAAAAAATAAAAATATTTAATATAATAACTAGCCAATAGATCATTAAGTAGTAAATCATTTCTGAAGAGTAGAAAAAATGATAAATCTTATAATAAACAAAGTCAGAAATTCATGTTTTTTCTATAGTATAGAAATGGGGCTTGCTTATATATAAAAGTATTTTTATTAAGTAAACCTTTCTTTTAGCTTATAATAAAAGTTGTAGAGCTAATTTTTTTGATTCTAATGGTAGTAAAATCGGATAGATCATAGGATATGAGTATGTTTCAATCGTTACTATATAAGGGGGTTGCTTAAAGAAGAATGCAGTCATATAATTTTGATATTTTAATTAAAGTTAGGATAAAGGTTAGTTGGAGGTTAGAGTAAAAACAAGTTTTATAATAAAATTGCCTTTCTGACATTTTTTATTAATGTTCCAAAACAGGTTTAGATACTCGTTTCTTGTATTTTTTCATTTTTTTCACTTTTGTCTCTCTTTTTTTCTTTGTTGGGCTGATCCAGGTTGATCAAGTTTATTGGCCACGTATTACATAATTGCACCTTGCTTAAAACAACCCTCATAATATTCTTAATTATATATATTTTTTTTGAATTTTCTAGTATATGCTTAACAACTTTGGATTCTTGATATACAGAGCATGCAATTAGTTTATATATTGAAGTCACTACAGAAATTTTTTTAAAACAAGAAATAATATGTTAATGATCTAATAATAAATGAGATAAATTTGTTAATAACTGATAAAAAAATAATCAAATTGTTAAAGTAATAAAATTGCCTAATTAACATTAAGTTGTATTATACAAATCAAGTTCTAATAAGATTGTATATTACTTCTAATACAGTATTATTAAAAAAAGTAGGCCAATAATTATAAAAAAATCTACATATTTGTATATATTAATTAGTAATAATTATTATTATAAATATAACTATTTACCAAATCTACTAAACTTTTATAAATATTATATATTACCTTTGTTATCTAGTCTATATATTATCTTGATTTTAAATCTAGAACCTTTATTTTCAAATAAATTTTTACTTTTATTTTTCAATAATAAATTGATATTTTTTTAATAAGTTCAAGTCTTTATATAAAATAATTAATTATGAAATTATTATTCTATAAAAAACATAATTTTTTCTTTTATCATAATTTTTTTTATAAAATAAAAAATAAAGTATTATAATATAATTAATAAAAGTTTATAAAAGCAAATTTATTAAAAATAAAAATATTTAGCTTTAATAAATCTTCACAAATAATTTTTTAATCTAATTATATTTATATAAATGTATTTATTCAATATCTTAAAAAATATACCTTTTATAGTTTTTTCTGCTTTGTTTTTATTCTTTATAATGATATTTATTAAAAATATCTATATATATATGAGTTATCACTATATAGTTTTTTTTATATGATATTAAAAATAAAATTACCAATAAATCAAACTTAACTATCCCGATATTTAACTTACATGCTAATAGCATTCTAAATGAATAAAGGTATACAAAAGGTAAAAGAATTATATACATTTTTCTCTTTTTTTACTATTCCGATATTCAACTTACATACTAATAGCATTTTAGAAGAATAAAGATATACAAAAGGTAAAAATTATATATGTTTTTTCTCTTCTTTTACTATCTTGATATTTAACTTACATACTAATAGTATTCTAAATAAATAAAGGTATACAAAGATAAAAGAATTATATACATTTTTCTCTTCTTTTACTATCCCGATATTCAACTTACATGCTAATAGCACTCTAGATAAATAAAGGTATACAAAAGATAAAAGAATTATATATATTTTTTCTCTTCTTTTACTATCCTGATATTCAACTTACATGCTAATAGTACTCTAGATGAATAAAGGTATACAAAAGGTAAAAGAATTATATATATTTTTTCTTTTCTTTTACTATCCTGATATTTAACTTGTGTTATATATTATATATAACTATTAAACTATAAACTATATTAGTAGAAATCCTATACAAATATCAGAATATTTAAATTAATATAAATCTGATAAATAAATAAATAAGAATTAATGTAAATGTACCCTACGGGTACATTAATTTTTTTGTACCCTTTATTTTGATTATATGATATTACATATAAAAACAGTAATACTGATATTGTTTATGTTAGTTTAGAGTTAGGGTGAAAACTATGTTAGGGTTAGTAATTAGGCAATTATATAGTAAAATCGTTCAAGGAAAACTTTTTATTAATGCACAGAAGG